TATATACATCCCGCTTAGAAAATATGGAGCTTATTCAGGCTGGACAGGCTGAAGCTCAGAGGTGACAGAGCTGTTGTTGCTCCCAGGTAATGAAACAATTTACACTTGAGTGTCAGACAGGCCTCCTCTCTTCCTCTTTTTAAATCTCCTTTAAAAACACACTTCTTTGGTTTTTAACACACCATGATCTTATCTTGTATAGCACCTTAATACACACCTGCTGTGAACCTGGTATGTGTATGTTTATATGTTTCTTTGTGTATGCTTGTCATGTTTTTATGGTCTTACTCTATTTTTAGCTTATTGTCCATCACTTTGGCTACCTACCCCTGCGGTTTTTAAAACATGCTATAGAAATAAAGTTGATTGATTGACTGATTGATTGGACACTGTACCTGAACATTAAAGATAAAACAACAGACTTTTACTTCCAAAATGTTGGACTGATTCAGACAGATAAATTGGACAAAAATATCTTGTGGTTTTTTTAGATACTCCGAAAACACCAAGTATTCTAGCCATTTTTTTTTTCTAAAGTAAACCTAATTAAATGGCTTTTTGACATGAATGAAATAAAAAAAAAAAAAAAGTTTACTCTTCCTGGTTGCTCTTTATTCTCTGCATCTATGCTGAACACTTTTTTCCATTTCCTTTATACAAAGGTAAACCATATTGATCAGCAGTCTGAAACAATAAACAGAAAGCAGCTTGAGGCTGACTCTGGATTCTGCTGCAGAGCAACAAAGTATTTTTTTCTGAGGGCTCAGCACTTTGGGAAGCTGATTTGATTCAACAATGATTGCAGAAATGCCGCCTATGTGGAAAACGTCCATTTTACCGCTGCTGATTCATTTCTGGCCACGACTGGTGCTTTTTGATTGCTCTTTTATTGATTGACTGATTTGTCTTTGTGTTGCCCTGAAAGTAACAAAGCTATTGAAAACCTCAGCCTTGTCTCGTAGCTCTGCTGCATTCATATTCATATTAAATATATTCATGACTGGGTCATGATTGAATTGTGCATAGAGTTGAAGCAGGAACCAAAGGCAGTTCAGGAAGTAGTTATAGGCAAAAGGCTGCATGTGGACTACGAAAAAGACCTAACATTAAAAAAAAAGAAAAATAGGGAGAGGTGATCACTGAATGGCAACAGGTGTGCTGATTACTAACATAAGGTGGAATAGGAGAAGCTGGAAATGAGGATGTGCAGCTCATTTAGTGACAATGAAGTGCAAGAAACAAAACACAAGGACTACTGTAAATAACCAAAATACCAATACTCTTAATGTTCCTAACAAAAAAATTGTAATAAGTACACAGCATGGCCAAAATAAAAAAAGTCTCCATCTGGATTTAACTAAACAAATAGGTTTGATCCTCCTATTGGATAATTACTGCATGGGTGATCATCTTTCAGCTGCAACAAGTTATTTAACACCAACTGGTGCAATGAGTTGCTTCTCATTTCTTAAACAAC